GGAAATCACGCGAACTAAAGGAAGTGATCCTCACTCCCTTTCTGTGATAATCTTCCTTGGCCCTCCAGAGGACTGTTGAGGAAGAACAGCAGAGATATTTGCTCATTTAAAGCTGATATTATTTCAGTTTTTTTGGATCTCGGCCCACTCCACATTCTTTGAGCTGCACATCATACGTTTTTCCTCTCTGGAAATATGCTCTGCAAAATCTAGTAACACAAATTTCCAACCAGGCCTGCTGTTGCACAGTATTAATTAGGTGACAGCATCCCACTTAGATACCTTTGAAAATAATTTTGCATCTTTTTTAAAAAATATATATACGTATAGCTAGAAGGTGGCAATTTTTTTCGGATAACCTGAACCAAAATCACGTGAAGTATTAGTACTGCTTTATAAATCCTTAGTAAGATGACACCTGGAATACCGCAAACAGTTTTGGTCACCACCACATCACAGAAAGATGTTGAGACTTTGGAAAAAGTGCCAAGAAGAGCAACTAAGATGATTAAAGGCCTGGAGACTAAAACATAGGAAGAATGGGTTGCAGGATTGGGTATAACTAGTCTAGAGAAAAGAAGGTTTAGGGGTGACATGATAGCAGTATTCTAATATTTGAGGGGCTGCCACAAAGAAGAGGGGGATCAACTTATTTTCCAAAGCACCTGAGGGCAGGACAAGAAACAATGGATGTAAACTAATATGCTGTGAACCGCCCTGAGTCCTATGGGAGAAGGGCGGTATATAAATTAAAATAATAAATAAATAAATAAATAAATAAGGAGTGAAGCAGCCCGGAATTAAGGAGAAACTTCCTAACAGTGAGGACAATTAATCAACAGAACGACTTGTGGGTGTTTCATCCCTGCAGATTTTTAAGAAAACACTGGACAGCCACTTGTCTGAAATGGTATAGGGCAGGGGTAGGCAACCTTGGCTCTTTTATGACTCATGGACTTCAACTCCCAGAATTCCTGAGCCAGCCATGCTGAGGGGAAAGGGAGAGGTTTCCAAGCTGAGCCAGGCTGGCTCAGGAATTCTGGGAGTTGAAGTCCACGAGTCATAAAAGAGCCAAGGTTGCCTACCCCTGGTATAGGGTCTCCTGCTTGAGCAGGGGGTTGGACTAGAAGACCTCCAAGGACCCTTCCAGCTTCTATTATGTTCTGTTCTTATTTCTATATTCTATTCTATATAAAAGTATTGAAAGCCATGGAGAGCATAAACATTTATATCTAGACCAAGTTTTAGGCATGCAGAACTGGCACCAAGTAAAAGTTTGCAGCCACTTTTAAAATATCGGGATTTTTTCACTCTGAACTGTTGGGCCCTCACGTACAGGTGGTCAAGAGGGCCCAATACTCGCAGTTTGTTTAGTGACCGTTCAAAGTTACAACAGCACTGAAAGAAGTGACTCTTGACCACTTTTCACACTTACGACCCTTGCAACATCCCTATGGTCATATGGTCAAAATTCAGATGCTTGACTGCTGACTCACATATATGACGGTTGCGGTGCCCTTGGGTCACGTGATCCCCTTTTGTGACTTTCTGACAAGCAAAGTCAATGGGGGAAGCCAGATTCACTTAGCAGTTAGTCACATGTGACTAACTTAACAACTGCAATGATTCACTTCACAATTGTGGCAAGAAAGGTTGTAAAACGGGGCAAAACTCACTTAACAAATGTCTCACTTAACAACATAAATTTTGGGCTCAGTTGTGGTTGTAACCCGAGGAATTACCTGTATCAGGCACACAGTTCTGGAAGTATGCAGCCACTTTTAAAATATCAGGATTTTTTTCACTGTGAGTGTTGGGCTGTTTTTTTGTACACATTGTGGTGGCATAGTGTCTGTTGCAGGGCATATAAACATGATAGCCACTGTCTAAATTTTAGCAGTGCTGCAGTGCAGGACAGGATGTAGAGGTTAAAAGCCCAATGGTAGAAACTGGGAGAGAGTAAGATCTAGTCCTGCCTTAGCCAACAGGCGAGGCTTTGGCCAGGCTTCCCTCAGTTCTAGGGAAAAGAGCATTATATAGTAGTAGTAGTAGTAGTAGTAGTAGTAGTAGTAGTAGTAGTAGTAGTAGTAATAGTAATAATACAAAGACCTACAAATAGAAATAAAAAGACTGTGGCAAAGGCAAGCAAGGGTAGTACCAATAGTAATAGGCGCCTTGGGTGCAATCCCAAAACAACTGGAGCACCACTTGAACACCATCATCGGCATTGACAAATTCGCCATTAGTCAATTGCAAAAGGCGGCCTTAAAACTAGGAACTGCTTCCATCCCACGACAATATCTGTAATACCATCAAACATCCACATCTGCCTATCCCAGGTCCTTGGTAAGGACTCGATAGGTAGACAAAAATGCCGAGTCCAGTTTGAACATCTGGCTGTACAATGAATAATAATAATAATAATGATGATGATGATGAAAGAACTGGAGAAGATAACGAAATACAAAGACCTACAAATAGAAATAGAAAGACTGTGGCAAAAGCAAGCAAGGGTAGTACCAATAGTAATAGCCACCTTGGGTGCAATCCCAAAACAACTGGAGCACCACTTGAACACCATTGGCATTGACAAAGTCGCCATTAGTCAATTGCAAAAGGCGGCCTTACTAGGAACTGCCTCCATCCTGCGACGATATCTGTAATACCATCAAACATCCACATCTGCCTATCCCAGGTCCTTGGTAAGGATTCGATAGGTAGACAAAATGCCAAATCCAGTCTGAACATCTGGCTGACTGTGCGATGATCAATAATAACAATAAAGGTGGAAGGGACCTTGGAGGTCATCTAATCCAACCCCCTGCTCAGGCAGGAAACCCTATACCATTTCAGACAAATGGCTGTCCACTCTCTTCTTAAAAACTTCCAGTGTTGGAGCATTCACCGCTTCTGGAGGCAGGTTGTTCCACTGGTTAATTGTTCTCACTGTCAGGAAGTTTCTCCTTAGTTCTAGGTTGCTTCTCTCCTTGGTTAGTTTCCATCCGTTGCTTCTTGTCCTGCCTTCAGGTGCTTTGGAGAATACGTTGACACCCCTCCTCTTCTTTGTGGTAGCCTAAGCAATTTTAAGGTGCATGGACTTCAACTCCCAGAATCCCACAGGCAACCTATGTGGACTTCAACTCCCCAAATTCCCAGCCAGATTGTTTCCAGAATTCTGGGAGCTGAAGACCACCTATTTTAAAATTGCTACTCTTAAAGGGCAGAGTTTGAAGGAGGGAATTCATTTCATTTGAATTTGAGTGCATGAGGAAGGAAAGAGAAAAGTAATGACTTAAGAAAACCTATTGTGCTTCAATTGATGCACTAAGATATGGCTTGCCTTTGTATTCGTTAATGTATCTAAAGTCCTCAATTTTCCTATTCTCTCTTAAATGGCTGGGGAATTCTGGGAATTGAGGCCCAGGCATGCTGGCTGGGGAATTCTGGGAACTAAAGACTCCTAAATGGCAATTCCTACTGATAGAATTTTTACTTCTTTATTTTTATTTTCAATGGTTCAAGCTTTTAAACTAATGTTAATCATTCTTAATCATAGTTTATAAACTTTACTGTATCGTGTTCAAATCTGCATTGTTGTTGTTCAAACGTACTTCTGCCTACCCCCAAATTCCCCTTTTCGTTAAACTTTGTGATGTTATCTTTTTTCATTTTTTTATTCTTACATTTTTTGTTCTTAATTTTTATTAACATATAATTAATAAAATTATGAGGGAGAATATTAGCTCCCCGTGATCTTATGTGTTCTTGCTTTGAGTGCGTAAGGACGCTTTTGTGATTGGATAGGAATATTCAAAGCCCTCAACTTACAGCCCCAATTTGGATCAGAATTTATATTGCTAAGCAAGGAAGTTGATAGGTTTTGTCCAGTTTTATGACCTTTTTTGCCATAGTTGTTAAGCAAATCATCGCAGTTATTAAGTGAATCAGGCATTCGTTAGTGTGCTATCCCAGTCACACGTAATGGTGGTTTAGTGGGCATATTAATATTAATTATATTCCCCAGCAGTTCCTTTCACCAAAAACCCAGAACTGTCCCAATTAAAGTCCAGCCCAAAGCAGGCCGACGCTAGTCCACCAAGCAATAGCCAAAGAGTCCACAAGGCACTTGAAAGTTTCTCAAACATGATAAATCTACCAAGCTAAATTAAATCCACAATACAGGCAATCCTCAATTTATAACAATTCACTTAGTGACTGTACAAAGTTAGAACAGCACTGAAGAAAGAACATTTTTCACAGTTACAATCCTTCCAGCATCCCCATGATCACGTGATCCAAATTCAGACGCTTGGCAACTGATTCATCTTATGACGGTCGCAGAGTCCCGGGGGTGTCACGTGATCCCCTTTTGCAACCTTCTGATAAGCTAAGCCAATGGGGAAGCCAGATTCACTTAACAACCGTGTGACTAACTTAACAACTGGAGTGATTCACTTAACAACTTTTAAGAAAGATCGGAAAATTGGGCAAAACTCTCTTAGCAAATGTCTCACTTAACAACAAAAAATTGGGGCTCAATTGTGGTCATAAGTCAAGGACTAGAGGATTCATCAGGCAAGAAAAATCTAGAGTTCACAAGACACAATCCAAAGCAAAGCTCAATTTAACAACCACAGTTGGGTCTAAAATTTCCGTTGCTAAGCAAGGCTGTTGTTGTGAGTTTTGCCCCGTTTTATGACCTTTCTTGCCAAAGTTGTTAAGAGAATCACTGCAGTTACTAAGTAAGTAGCACAGATGAGTCAGTCTTCCCCCTTGACTTTGCTTGTCTGAAGGTTGCAAAAGGGGATCACATGACCAAGGGGATGCTGCAACCGTCATTAAGTGTGAAAAACGGTCATAAATCCCTTTCCCCCCCTGAATGGTCCCTAAATAAGTCGAGGACTACTTATATATATCTTTGCAGTCTATTATATGGGCCCTGAGAAGACGCCACAAAGTTTCAGAGGTCTAACCTAATTTTTTGTTTGTTCTGTTTGCAGACGAGGAAGAAGTTCTTAATTCTATTATGAAGGACCTCGCCGCCCTTGGCAAATGCGGTGGATTTTTAGACAGCAACAGGAATAAAAACCATTCGAACAAACAGGTGAGATTCTGTCCTGCAGTTCGCACTGTTCCTGCACAACGTAAAAAGGATTAGAGCGGTGTTTTTCAATCTTGGCGTCTTTTAAGATGGGTGGATGACACTTCCCAGAATTCTCCAGCCAGCCTTGCTGTCAAGGTTGAGAAACAGCGGGGTTTACAGCCAGAAGAGCAGAATATTTATTTTATTTATTAATTGAATTTATATGTTGCCTATCTCACTATCAAAAGTCACTCTGAGTGGAATGTGAAATAATAATAATAATAATAATAATAATAATAATAATAATAATAATAATAATAATAATAATAATAATAATAATAATAATAATAGTAAAGTTGGAAGGAACCATGAAGGTCATCTAGTCCAACCCCCTGCTCAGGCAGGAAACCCTATACCATTTCGGACAAATGGCTGTCTAATCTCTTCTTAAAAACTTCCAGTGTTGGAGCATTCACCGCTTCTGGAGGCAGGTTGTTCCACTGGTTAATTGTTCTCACTGTCAGGAAGTTTCTCCTTAGTTCTAGGTTGCTTCTCTCCTTGATTAGTTTCCACCTGTTGCTTCTTGTCCTGCCTTCAGGCGCTTTGGAAAATAGCTTGACTCCCTCTTCTTTATGGCAGCCCCTGTTTCATTTTTAATCAACCTTGTCCACTTTAAGAGGGATGGACTTCAGTTTTGGTCAATGTTGGCTACTTTAAGATGGGTAGACTTCAATTTTGAACGAGAATAAAGCTGCAGGAGACCTTAGAGATCTTCTAGTCCAGCCTCCTGCTCAAACAGGAAATCCCATACCATTTCAGGCAAATAGTTGCCCAGTCTCTTCTTAAAAGAGTGATGGAGCTCCTGCAACTTCTGGAGGCAAGCTGTTCCACTGGTTAATTGTCCTCACTGTTAGGAAGTTACTCCTTAATTCCAGATTGCTTCTCTCCTTGATTAGTTTCCATCCGTTGTTTCTTGTCCTGCCTTCAGGTGCTCTGGAAAATAAGTGGACCCCCTCTTCTTTGATCAATTTTGCTGTAGTTTGGCCACTTTAAGATGGGTGGACTTCAACTTCCAGAATTCTGGGAGTTGAAGTCCACCCATCTTAAAATGTTCAAGGTTGACTAACCTTGTTGTAAGAAATGGTGATCCTCTAATTTGGAAAGTGACAAGAAAAAACAACAGAGCTTTTCACTTTTTAATATTTGGATCCTCTCCCCCCTGCCCCCCATTTTTTCTTTTCTGTTATTTTGTGTTTTATCTTTCTTTGAAATTTAATAAAGTTTATTAAAAAGCTAGGGCAGCTAACTAGAGGAACATATGGTCAATTTTGGCATCAGACCACTTCATAGAAAGACATGTGCAAAAAGACAGTGGATCATCGCATTAAACTTATTTAATTTGATCCAAACCAATAATCCAATCTGGAAAATTGATTTGATTTGGGGATTAAATCCAGTTGCTTTTAATTCTCATCTCTGAGTGCCTCTAGGTCTATAAAATTCTGCTGCTAATCTTTCTGCTGTCAGCAAAGACCAAGATGCATCAAAAAACTGAATTATAGATTCTAGATTGAATAACACAAATTCTATACCAAAAGAAACCCCGTCCTTCTCTTCCCATCACTATAACAACATCTGCTTGTTGACGAAAACAAACACGTAGTTGAGCTCCAGGGTGTAACAGCTCTCTGAGTTGAATTCAGCCTTAGAGCAGCCCAGGCTGAAAAATGATTCAAGATGTTTAGCAAATTCACGAGGCCGCTAACAGCTGGTGTAGTGGCCAATGAGCCAATAATGCTTTGATTGACAGGTGGAATTAATTTTTTATGGAAACTGGGAGGGTGGGGAGCAGGCAGAACTTGGCAAGCATCATCTTGGGATAACTTGAGAAAAGTTGGGGAGTTTCCAGAGATGAAACATTCCTTACAAAGACCACACATTCTTTTGAATTACTGATAGACCTTGACTTAACAACATTTCGTTTTAGTGACTTTTCGACATTACGATGGCACTGAAAAAATGGTCACACTGATGACCATTGCAGCCTCCCCATGGTTACGTGATCAAAATTCAGACACTTAAGAACTGATTCATATTTATGACGGTCGCAGCGTCCAGGGATCACGTGATCCCCTTTTGCGACCTTCTGACAAGCAAAGTCAATGGGGAAGCCGGATTCACTTAACAACCGTGTTACTAATTTAATAACTGCAAGGATTCATTGGCAGGGATGGTTGTAAAATGGGGCAAAATTCAGTAAATAAATGTCTCGCTTACCGACAGAAACTTTCGGCTCAATTGTGGTTGTAAGTCAAGGAAGACCTGTATCTATTAGAGTTGGGAGACTGATCAAATAAATATAGATAAAATATAGGTAGTCCTCGATTTATGATTATGGGAGTTTGGGAAAAATTCAGAGAAGAGCAACTAAGATGATCCAAAGCCTGGAGACTAAAACATAGGAAGAATGGCTGCAGGACTTGGGTCTGGCTACTCTAAAGAAAAGAAGAAATAGGGGCGACAGGATAGCAGAATTCCAGTATTTGAGGGGCTGCCACAAAGAAGAGGGGATCAAATTATTCTCCAAAGCACCTGAAGGCAGGACAAGAAGCAACAGATGGAAACTAATCAAGGAGAGAAGCAACCTGGAACTAAGGAGAAACTTCCTAACAGTGAGGACAATTAACCAGTGGAACTGCTTGCCTCCAGAAATCGTGGGCACTCCATCACTGGAGATTTTTAAGAAGAGGCTAGACCAGGGGTAGGCAACCTCGGCTCTTTTATGACTCATGGACTTCAATTCCCAGAATTCCTGAGTCAGCTATGCTGACTCAGGAATTCTGGGAGTTGAAGTCCATGAGTCATAAAAGAGCCGAGGTTGCCTACCCCTGGGCTAGACAGTCACTTGTGTGAGATGGTATAGGTTCTCCTGCTTGAGCGGGGGACTGGACTAGAAGACCTCCAAGGTCCCTTCCAGCTTCTATTCTATTCTATTCTATTCTATTCTATTCTATTCTATTCTATTCTATTCTAATCTAATCTAATCTTATTTCTATGCTTAATTCTGTTCTATTCCTATTCTATTCTATTCTATTCTATTCTATTCTCTTTCTTGATCTCCCTTTTCCTTCAAACTTTTTCTCTTGCCTGTTTATCTTAATCTTTTATTTTTGAAAATCAATAAAGTTATGAAATTAAAGAAATATAGCAGGCCGAAGAACACCATGTGTTCCAACACCAATTAGCTGTTGGAACACCTGGTGAAATTCATGACCCATAGGTATAATTAATCATAGTTTCAACAGGGAAATGGTCAGCATCGTAGATCAAGCCAAGTCCCCCAAACACCAGAGAATGCCTAGAAGCCTGGCGCTCAGACAAAACTGCCATCCCCAGGCACGAAGAGATAAGCAACATTTGCACACCATTCAAAAGAACAATAAAAAAGTGTTTTTTTTTTTAAAAAAGAAACAAATAGACCAGAATTTCAGCGCAATCAAGGAAATACTAAGGAGAAAAACCATATTGCCTCCAACGAGGGTAATTTTATCTCTCAGCTTCTCTGGATCACACCAGAGTGCAGCAAAATTTTGAAAGCTGGACTCTGCTGATGAAGATGATGAAGGGATCTGTTCAAGGAAGGATCAGGATGCAAAATGGACACAGCCTGATTGTGGTTGTCGTTTCCCCTTCTCATTGGGCCTCTTTTTGCCCATGCTTGTTTTCCTAGCAAGTCGGGGGGAAGTTTTACCCAGCACTGTTTCTCTGAAGCCTCACTCATATTTCTCTTCTCGCCAGCCAACTGCTGTTGTGTATGTTGCCTGGTGTGTTTCCCTTGGCCCTTAACGAAAGAAGGTCACTGTTATTGTTTCACAGTGAAGAAAGAGGATGCAGCTATTATGTTTCCTCTCTACTGGGGTTGCTTTTGTCCATTTCCAGCAACAAATTGTTCCAAAACGGAGCTGTTCTGCTCAACACACACACACACACACAAATGGCATTGGGTCTTAAGGACTGTCCAACTGGGTGGACATACAAGCAAGTTTCTTTGCAAGGCAGATCTGAATGGCATCTCTTTATTTAGACCAAGGGTGTCTAGACCAAGGACTTTTTATGACCTGTGGACTTCAACTCCCAGAATTCCTGAGACAGCATAGCTCATGAAGTCCATAAGTCATAAAGAGGGCCAACAGTTGCCCACCTCTCATTTAGAGGGTCTTTTCAGGAAATCTCTTAGAGGTGGATTAAATAGGGAAGACCACAGATGAAAAGTATCACAGATGACTTGCAGGGAAAACATTTGTTGTCTTGCATTTCAAGGTATAGATAGTCCTCGGCTTACGACCACAACTGGGATCAGAATTTACGCTGCTAGGTAGGGCAGGTGTTAAGGAAGTCACAACCAATTTTGCAACCTTTTTTTTCTTTTGCTGTGGTTATTAAGCAAATCCCTGCAGTTGTTAAATGAATGATTTGGTCGTTAAAGTGACTCTGGCTTCCCACGTTGATTCTGCTTGGAAAAGTTGCAGATGGGGATCACACCATCCCAAAACAAAAAAAAAACATGTTGTGCTTCTTTCAAACCAATTTCTTTATTGTTTCTCACTTATTTTCTGTCTGTCTGTCTGTTTGTTTGTTTGTTTGTTTGTTTGTCTGTCTGTCTGTCTGTCTGTCTGTCTGTCTGTCTGTCTATCTATCTACTTACCTACCTACCTATTTGTCTCTATCTACCTACTTACCTACCTATTATCTGTCTGTCTCTCTATTATCTGTCTGTCTGTGTCTATCTATCTATCTATCTATTTATCATCTATCTATCTGTCTATCTATCTATCTATCATCTATCTGTCTATCTATCTATCATCTATCTACTTACCTACCTATTTGTCTGTCTCTATCTATCTACTTACCTACCTATTATCTGTCTGTCCCTTTATTATCTGTCTGTCTGTCTGCCCGTCCATCCATCCATCCATCCATCCATCCATCCATCCATCCATCCATCCATCCATCCATCCATCTATCTATCTATCTATCTATCTATCTATCTATCTATCTATCTATCTATCTATCTAATTTACTTACCTACCTATTTGTTTGTCTCTGTTTCACTATCTACCTACTTACCTACCTACTATCTGTCTCTCTATCATCTGTCTATCTATATATAATCTATCTACCTGTCTATCTACCTACCTATTATCTGTCTGTCTCTGTCTCTCTCTACCTGTCTGTCTGTCCGCCCGCCCGCCCGCCCGTCCGTCCGTCCGTCCGTCCGTCCGTCCGTCCGTCCGTCCGTCCGTCCGTCCGTCCGTCCGTCCGTCCGTCCGTCCGTCCGTCTGTCTATCTATCTATCTATCTATCTATCTATCTATCTATCTATCTATCTATCTATCTATCTATCTATCTATCTATCTATCTATCTATCATCTATCTCTGTCTCTTTATCAACTATCTGTTATCTCTCTCAATTATCTACCTGTCTATTGCCTATCTATTTTATAAGAATCTTGTCACACTAAAGCACGCTACCATCCCTATAAACTCTGGGAATTATTAGGGAGGAGCCATCTTCACCCTCTTTCACTCACAGAAATGATCTGAATTGAGTTGCCTCTTGCTCCTCCGGAATGCAGCCCCTCCCTTCTGGAAATCTGGGCCACAGTATATTCCATCACAGGGGTGCTGCAGCAGTCGTAAATACACTCCACAAATATTTCCTGTTTGGACTACCTTGTAAATCTGACAAAATCTCTTTGGTTTTCTCACTACAAGTAAGAGTTCATTCAGTGACAGTTCAAACTTACAAAAGCACTGAAAAAAGTGACTTAGGGCCGTTTTCTCACACTTACGACCGTTGCAGCATCTGTGTAGCCATCTAATCAAAACTCAAAGGCTTGACAACTGACTCACATGTATGACAGTCGCAGTGTCCCGGGATCACGTGACTCTCTTTTGTGACCTTCTGACAAGCAAAGCCAATAGGGAAGCCAGATTAACTTAACAACCATGTTACTAACAATTGCAGTGATTCACTTAACAACAGTGGCAAGGAAGGTCATAAAATGGGATAAAACTCATTTAACAACTGTCTTGCTTGGCAATGAAAACGCTGGGCTCAATTATGGTGGTAAGTCGAGAACTATCTATATTGAGCCATGCTGTCAATGCTGTTTTTGCCAACTGGAGAATTCCTCAGCTCAGCCACAGAGAATAACCTAACATCCATACAAGCAATGATAGCTGGTGAGAAATAGATTAGGATCCTCTGTTTCATTGGTGTTTAAGAGACGCTCCTGTTTCAACAGGTATAGCTCAGGAACTCCAAGGGATCTATCAGTGAAGTGAATCCACAGTGATGATCCAGTTTAGTGACCCACCAAATTCAGCTGATTTCCAATTATTGATGGGAATCAGCTGAATTTGGAATTTTTGTTACATTAACAGAGGTATAGAATCGTAAATCACACGAGGTACTAGCACTGCTGTATAAAGTCTTAGTAAGGCCACACTTGGAATACGGCATCCAGTTTTGGTCACCACACTATAAAAAAGATGTTGAGACTCTGGAAAGAGTGCAGAGAAGAGCAACAAGGATGATCAGGGGGCTGGAGGCTAAAACACATGAAGAATGGTTGCAAGAACTGGGCATGGTTAGTCTTGTGCAGGGGTAGGCAACCTCGGCTCTTTTATGACTCGTGGACTAGTGAAGAGAAGGACTAGGGGTGACATGATGGCAGTCTTACAATATTTGAGGGGCTATCACAGAGAGGAGGGAGTCATCCTCTTCTCCAAAGCACCTGAAAGTAGATAAGAAGCTATCGATGGGAGATAATTAAAGAGAGAACCAACCTAGAACTAAGGAGAACTTTCCTCTTAGTCAGAACAATTAATCAGTGGAACAACCTTCCTCCAGAAGTTGTGAGTGCTCCAACACTGGAGGATTTTAAGAAGAGATTGGACAACCATTTGTCTGAAATGGTATAGGGTCTCCTGCCTGAGCAGGGGGCTGGACTAGATGACCTCCAAGGTCCCTTCCCACTCTGTTATTCTGAAATCAATCAACTTCAGCCAGTTATTGCTGCGGTCCATTTTGCCACATTAGGATGTGATCTTTTTTAATAAACACTTACAGACACATACTTCCACATAAATAGCCGTTGAACTGAAACTTCCTCACTGCCACAACATATTTTCAGGCGCATAGAATGGAAGCATGGAAACTGCTAATCATGTTCTGGATAAACCTCAAGTAAAAGATAAGAAGAGTTTTCAGGAAAAGGCGTCATCCATTTTGCTCCTCTAGGAATTCTCCTGTTTAGATACCAGCAGTGTGTGGCTGATCTTTGCAAACAATGTACACTCCCAAATATAGGATGCGCTTTTTCCACCCCAAAAAAAAAAAAACCAGAGGGAGAAAAGAGAGAGAGAGATATATAAAGTTGTAATTTAATTCTGCATAACAAAAAAAAAACCCAAAACCTTTAAGAATAGTGGCCCCACCTAATTCTCCAACCAGTTGTGGATTTTACCAAGCACTTTTATGCTTCTGGTTTACAAGAAATGGACACATTTTTCCAAAACTCTCTGCTTGGGGAACAGCAAAATGTCTATTTTATTAACATAATATAAAATATGAAAATACAAAAGCAAATAATAAACAAAGGTAAGGGGGGGAAGAAAAGTGTGGAAAAAAGGGGGGAAAGAAAAAAAGGTATTGACTTTCTTCTGTTGCAGTAAAATAAGACATTAAAATCAAATCTCAACTTTTTACATTTCTATAGTAGTATGAACTAGCCGTTTCTATATCAACAAATCAGCCTAATCAGTAAAACCCAAAAATCAAAGTATCATTTTTTTCCCACCTCGTGCACAAAGTCCAGAAGTGGTTTCCAAGTAGAAACAAAAGTTCTTATATTTTTTTTGTTTTATCAAAACAATTTTTATTAGTTTAGCCATCTCTGCTAACTCCATCAACTTTTGTAGCCATTCCTCCATGGTGGGAATCGAAATATCCTTCCATTTTTGTGAGTAAAGTAGTCTTGCTGCCGTCAACATATATAAAATCAGAGTTTCAAATTTTCCCCCCAAGTCTTTTTCCGTTAGACCCAGAAGAAAAGAATGTCAAGATTGAATTGTTCTATTAGTTTGTAGAGCTTTCTTTCGTTAAAGAGAGAAAGCAAATTCACACAGCATGCTAAATCAAACCCTAGTTTGTTGCATTATGTTATCGGAGCACTCAACCAGCTGATTCAGCACCAGAAGTATTTTTTTTTAAAGGCTGCCAATGGGAGGGGTCTTTACTGGGTCCTGCAGAAATAAAAATTATAGGATGGTCCTGCCCAAACATTTTTGGAAGACAAGCAAATTATCACTAGGATTTTTTTATTTTTTTTTTTGCTTTCAAGCAATAGACTTTCGTCTATTTTAAACAAATAATAATAATAATAAAGTTGGAAGGGACCTTGGAGGTCATCTAGTCCAACCCCCTGCTTCAGGCAGGAAACCCTACACCATTTCGGACAAATGGCTGTCCAGTCTCTACATGTCATTTTGTCCTAATCCTTATTCCTATTTGGGAGGATGGGCTGCAAGATGTTACAGATACCAAGCAAGGAAAGAGGGCGATGGATGAATTGAAGCTGAGACTGAATAGTTAAGACCTGGTAACATGAGAAGAGCAGAAGAACTGCCTCTCTGTCTGTTTATCTCTCTTTCAAACATTATATCTATTATCTACCTATTATCATCTATCTATCTCTTTATCAGCTATCTGTTGTTTCTTACTCTATCATTTACCTATCATCTAGCTATTGTGAATCACCTATCACCTGTCTGTCTTATCTATCCATCCATATCTATCTACCTGTTCATGCATCCATCTATCTATCATCTCATCCATCATCTCTTTTTTATCTATTATCTCTCACTCTATCATCCATCCATACCTCTCTCTATCATATCTATCATCTCTCTTCCATCTGTCTGTCTGTCTGTGTCTATCTATCTAACTATCTATTTATCTATCTATCTATCTATCTATCTATCTATCTATCTATCTATCTATCTATCTATCCTTCATTCATTTCTATCATCCATCAATCCATAACTAGCTATCTGCCTGCTTGCCTGCGCCTGCCTGCCTGCCTGCCTGCCTGCCTGCCTGCCTGCCTGCCTGCCTGCCTGCCTATCTATCTATCTATCTATCTATCTATCTATCTATCTATCTATCTATCTATCTATCTATCTATCTATCTATCTATCTATCTATCTATCTATCATAATAATAATAATAGTAAAGTTGGGACCTTGGAGGTCATCTAGTCCAACCCCCTGCTCAGGCAGGAAACCCTATACCATTTCGGACAAATGGCTGTCCAGTCTCTTCCTAAATACCTCCAGTGTTGGAGCATTCACCGCTTCTGGAGGCAGGTGGTTCCACTGGTAAATTGTTCTAACTGTCAGGAAGTTTCTCCTTAGTTCTAGGTTGCTTCTCTCCTTGCTTCGTTTCCACCCGTTGCTATCTATCTATCTATCTATCTATCTATCTATCTATCTATCTATCTATCTATCTATCTATCTATCTATCTATCTATCTATCCTATTTTATCTCTCTATCATCCACCCATCTCTCTCCGCAAATATATCATATTTCTATCTATCTATCTATCTATCTATCTATCTATCTATCTATCTATCTATCTATCTACCTACCTACCTACCTACCTACCTACCTACCTACCTGTTTGTTTGTCTCTGTCTTGCTATCTGTCTACCTATTACCTACTACTTATTATCTGTCTGTCTGTCTGTCTGTCTGTCTGTCTGTCTGTCTGTCTGTCTGTCTGTCTATCTATCTATCTATCTATCTATCTATCTATCTATCTATCTATCTCAGTTATTTTATTTCTCTATCATCCATCTATCATCTATTTATCATCCATCTATCTATCTGTATTTAATGGTTTTCTGTCTTCTTTTCTTCCATAGTTGCGGAATGCCAGGATCAAGTTTGAGCATGATGGAGAAAAAAGGTACATCTATTTTATTTTTTCATTAAATTTCTATGCTGCCCATCCCTCCTATAGATCCCTGGTCTATAGGATTTAGATAGTTTGCTTGTTTTTGCTGAACCTTAAAAACCATAACTCAAAAGTAAATAAAACCCTTGTTTGGTTGTTTTCATCAGAAAGTTGTCCCCCTTCAAGTATCCCTACAAAATGATTATATAGTACTGAGATGTTGGCGATATTTTTTATTTATTCTCTCATGATTACATGCCACTCCCGTTGAACATTAATCAATTAAATTTAATTTAAAACATTGAATGTGGCCCTACTAATCAATTTTGCAACTCTGGGTAGTGAACAGTAGATGGAACCAAAAAACAAAACATAAAGCATTTCAGTTAAAATCCAAATTATTACTCAGCAAATGACCCTGAGCAGCTTACATTCTGCATTCTGGCAATAAGATTAAAATGCAGTTATGCCAATGTATTAAATGCATTCGCTTCGTTAAGAATTGAGTGGAAGGACGGAATTTCTCAGTGTTGGATGATAAGGCGCAATTACTACAAGTAGTCCACAACCGTGCCCAAAATTTCTGTCGCAAAGTGAGACAGTTGTTAAATGAGTTTTGCCCCATTGCTTGCCACCGTTGTTAAGTGAAGCACTGCAGTTGCTGAGTTAGCAACCCAGTTGTTAAGTGAATCTGGCTTCCCCATTGACTTTGCTTGTCAGACGGTCGCAAAAAGGGGTCACGTAAGCCAGGGACGCTGTGAACGTCACAAAAATGAGTCAGTAGCCAAGTGTTTGGATTTTGATCACGTGACCATGGGGATGCTGCAACGGTCGTAAGCGTGAAAAATGGCCATAATTCACTTTTTTCAGTGCCGTTGTAACTTTGAACGGTCATTAAATAAACCCTTGTAAATCGAGAACCACCTGTATTTTATTTTCCATGATGCTGTTAAGCAGGTATGAAAATTCCCTTCCTTGCTCCACAGGTGCCATTTTCCTCTGACATACCGATAATCCTTGATTTATGACCACAGTTGGGATTGGAACGTCCATTGCTAAGAAATGCCCTCAATTTTATATACTTTCTTTTGAGATCAGGCAACAGAATTTCATTTTTAATGTTGGCCAGTGTGCTCATAGTAGAAAATGACAATAAAGATTTATCTTATCTTATTTCATCTTATCTTATAATTTTGCACCTTTTATTGCTATAGTTATTAAGCTAATCAGACTGCTTCCCCCATTGACTTTGCTTGTTGGAAACTGATGGGTAGGTCTCAAGAGGAGCATCATGTGACCCTAAAACTGTTGTAAATATATAGACCATTTGCACAAGAGTTTAAATCACAATCGTATGTCCATTGGGGACACTGCAATGGTTGTAAGTGCAAGTATCAATCGTAAGTAAGTCAGTCAATCAGAATAGAGCTGGAAGGGACCTTGGAGGTCTTCTAGTCCAACCCCCTGCTCGTGCAGGACATCTACTTATGCCATTTCAGATAGATGGCTGTCCAGTCTCTTCTTAAAAACCCTCAATCATATAGCACCCACAACGTCTGGAGGCAAGCCGTTCTCCTGATTAATTGTTCTCACTGTCAGGAAATTCCTCCTTAATTCCAGGTTGCTTCTCTCTTTGGTTAGTTTCCATCCGTGGCTTCTTGTCCTGCCTTCAGGCACTTTGGAGAATAGCTTGACTTCCTCTTCTTTGTGGCAGCCCCTGAGATATTGGAATACTGCTATCATGTCCCCCCTACTCCTTCTTTTCATTAGACTGGATATACCCAAGTCCTGCAGCCGTTCTTCATATGTTTTTGTCTCCAGGTCTCTGATCATCTCAGTTGCTCTTCTCTGCACTTTTTCCAAAGTCTCAACATCTTTTTTGTAGTGTGGTGACCAAAACTGGATATGGTGTTCCAGGTGTGGCCTTACTAAGGTTTTATAAAGTGGTATAAAGTCACTTTAGGGGTCATAACTTTGAACAGTCACTAAATGAATGGACATAGGTCAAGGATTGTCTGTAGCTTACATCAGAGTTCTGTAAGCAGTCTAAAGGTCCATGAGATCATGTGTGAAAGGAGACCAGATTCTGGGTCTGGAAGGTGGGGCTTTCCTTGACATTCAGCAGAACCGTTCTAACATAACTCACTGCACATTCACAACATTATAGATAGCCCTCAATTTATAACCATTCATTTAGTGGCCATTTGAAGTTACCGCTGCACTAAAATAAGTGAATTGTGCTGAGTTTTCACATTTCCAACCATTGCAGCATTCCTTTGGTCATGTGACCAAAATTGCTCGGCAACTGGCATGTATTATGACAGTTGCAGCATCCCGGAGTCATGTGATCCCCTTTTGTGAGCTTCCCAGCTAGTTTCCCACAAGCAAAGACAGTGGGGGAAGTCAAATTCACTTAACAACAATGTGATTCAGTTAACAACTGCACTAATCTGCTTAACAACAACAACAACAACAACAACTGATTTGCTTTAAAAAGGTCATAAATTAGGGAACGGCTCCCTTAATAATTGTCCTGCTTAGCAACAGAAATTTTGGGCTCCCTTATAATAGTACGTCGAGGACCAGCTATAATAAGCCTCAGTCACAGAGATTTTATTTCCCTTTGTGTACAAGAGCCTGTTGCTACAAAAAGTACACAGGAAGTCTTTAATTGATCCCACAACTTTTCTTGCTGTGTGAGACATAAGTGAGTCTGGCCCTATTTTACAACTTTTCTTGTTCCTTTAAGTGAATCACTCCAGTTGTTAAGTTAGTCATATGGCTGTTAAGTGAATCTGGCTTCTCCATTGACTTTGCTCGTCACAAAAGGGGATCACGTGACCCAGGGACACTGCAGCCGTCATAAATACGAGTCAGCTGACAGGTATCTGAATTTTAATTACACGACCCTGGGGATGCCGCAACAGTTGTGTGGAAAACAGTCATAAGTCACTTTTAATTACCTTTGTAACTTCGAACGGTCACTAAACAAACTGTTGTAAGTCAAGGACTATCTGTACAATATTGGTAGGATGATTTTAACTGTTTTCATAAATGCATCCTCGTTTTGCAGGATTATCCAGTTCCCGAGGCCGGTTAAGTTCAAAGATGTTTTGCAAAAAGTCATGGATGCTTTTGGGCAGTTGATGGATTTACATTATGCTGACAATGAGGTACCTTATGTGTTGCTTCTTCTTCTGTCTCTGCCATTTTCTTGCTCTTCATGGGGAACGTGACAGCAATAAGATGGGACAATATTTTTGTTGGTCCTTCTTTCTTCAGATCCCCGCTCACCTCACAAACTCCAAGACAAATATATTTTAAAAGCCCTTGCAAAAAGTACTTCCAAAGTTTAGAGAGATGTCCTGTCTCTAGCGAGGGCTATCCAACATTGAAACTTTGAGATTTGTGGACTTCAACTTCCAGAATTCCATAGCCAGCATGCTTTAAGATGGGTGGATTTCAACTCCCAGAATCCCCCAGCTAGCATGCTTTTTAAGATGGGTGGATTTCAACTCCCAGAATCCCCCAGCTAGCATGCTTTTTAAGATGGGTGGATTTCAACTCCCAGAATCCCCCAGCTAGCATGCTTTTTAAGATGGGTGGATTTCAACTCCCAGAATCCCCCAGCCAGCATGCTTTAAGATGGGTGGATTTCAACTCCCAGAATTCCCCAGCTAGCATGCTTTTTAAGATGGGTGGACTTCAACTCCCAGAATCCCCCAGCTGACAGGCTTTTAAGATGGGTGGACTTCAACTCCCAGAATCCCCCAGCCGGCATGCTGTAAGATGGGTGGACTTCAACTCCCAGAATTCCCCAGCTAGCATGCTTTTTAAGATGGGTGGATTTCAACTCCCAGAATCCCCCAGCTGGCATGCTTTAAGATGGGTGGACTTCAACTCCCAGAATCCCCCAGCTAGCATGCTTTTTAAGATGGGTGGACTTCAACTCCCAGAATCCCCCAGCTGACAGGCTTTTAAGATGGGTGGACTTCAACTCCCAGAATTCCCCAGCTGGCATGCTTTAAGATGGGTGGACTTCAACTCCCAGAATCCCCCAGCCGGCATGCTTTTTAAGATGGGTGGACTTCAACTCCCAGGATCCCCCAGCCAGCCATGCTGGCTGAGGAATTCTGGGAGTTGAAGTCTGAAAGTTGCCGTGGTTGGACACACCTGCTTTATCCAATAGATGTTCTGCCCAGTTGAAAGTTCTGAATGATCCATGAAAAATAAGTAAGTAAATAAACCTGGGGCACACTTTTAGTTTTGAAATTCCTTTTATTCTGGGGTGGTGCTTTTCAGAGAGTAAATTTCATTTGGGAACTGCATTGATATCTCAGTCTCTGCCCCTTTACACAGTCCCTTTAGGTTCGTGGACTTACGTCCTGTTTTAAACATGGAGAGAAGCAAAGCCTTGAGTCAGCATTTGGCAGCTTTTGCTACCTTCCTGCCTTATATTAATGTACTTATTCAGTGTCCAAGATTCAGGAAAGCTGTGCTTGTTTCCTGAATTTGCAACGTGCCAACAAACTCCAGTTTGCATGCATCTAAATTTAGGCCAGTATCTGGTGGAGACTGTCCGTGCACAGGACAGTTTTGCTGGCATGAGGAATCCAATTTTTCTCAAGTTTTGGCAACGGGCAGAAGGCAAGAGCAAGGATTGCACCATGCGTACTTTTCAATCTGGGGTCTTTTGAGGCTGGCTATGTGGGAAAAAGGAGGAAGGCTGTAAGGATATTTTATTTCCAGATTTTGAAAGATTAATGGGCATTCCAAGGAGCCAGAGGCAGCCATGGAAGACATTGGCAGCCAATTGCCAGAGAAAAGTGGTTAAACAAATTCCAAGTAGGGAATGCATATCAGGGGAGATAAATTGCAGAGCAGTCTTAAGAATGTAAATTTAATTCTTGATTCCTATTGCTGGAAAAAAAGGAGGGAGCCGTCTTTTGAATACGCCTCCCCCTACCAGGTTAAACTGAACTCTGCCACCGATTCTGGTCTGGCCAGGAATGGACAGATGATACTAATCTCAGTTTAATTTCTATTTCCTATGTAGGAATCTTCAACCAGACCTTTGCTGAGGAGAATGGCTGATGCTCTCTCTAGAGCAGGGGTCTTCAAACTTGGCCCTTTTATGACTTGTGGACTTCAACTCCCAGAATTCCTCAACCAGCGTGCCTGGCTGAGGAATTCTGGGAGTTGAAGTCCACAAGCAGGGGTCTTCAAACTTGGCCCTTTTATGACTTGTGGACTTCAACTCCCAGAATTCCTCAGCCAGCGTGCCTGGCTGAGGAATTCTGGGAGTTGAAGTCCACAAGCAGGGGTCTTCAAACTTGGCCCTTTTATGACTTGTGGACTTCAACTCCCAGAATTCCTCACGCGTGCCTGACTGAGGAATTCTGGGAGTTGAAGTCATAAAAGGGCCAAGTTTGAAGACCCCTGCTCTACAGCTTGAGAAGAAATTGAAGGATATCAAAGACACAATGGGAGTCCCCATCTGTTGTAGCTGTGTTCCATTGTGTACCACTGAGAAGTCTCCTCACAGAGCATGCTTCCATCTTCACAGGTCTATAAATGTAGTCCTCGGCTTACGACCCCGACTGAGGCTGAAATTTCCATTGCTGAGCAAGACCATTGTTAAGTCAATTTTGCCTCATTGGCTTGCCACAATTGTTATCACTGCAGTTGTTACATTAGTAACCCGGTTGTTAAGTGAATCTAACTTCTCCCGTTAACTTTGCTTGTCAGAAGGTCACCAAAAGTGATCACATGACCCAGGACGCTGCAACCGTTGTAAATATGCATCCAAATGTTGATCACAGGACCAAGGGGAGGCTGCAACGGTCGTAAGTGTGAAAAACGGTCACAAGTCCCTTTTTTCAGTGCTGTTGTAACTTTGAACAGTCACTAAATGAATGGTTGTAAGTCGAGGACTACCTATACACACATACAGGTAGTCCTCGACTTACAGCAGTCCAGTTAGTGACCGTTCAAAGTTACAACGGCACTGAAAAAAGTGACTTACGACCGTTTTTCACAGTTACGACCATTGCAGCATCCTTTTGATTACATGATTTAAATTCAGACGCTTGGCAATTGACTCATACTTATGACCGTTACCGTGTCCCGGGGTCATACGATCCCCTTTGGTGACCCTGTGACAAGCAAAGTCAGTGGGGATTCACTTAACAAAACGTGTTACTAATTTAGCCACTTGCAGTGATTCGGTTAACAACGGTGGCAAGGAAAGTTGTAAAATGGAGCAAAACTCACTTAACCACCGCCTCACTTAGCAACAGAAGCTTTGGGGTCATCAATGGAGGACTACCTGGATTTATTCAGTGCCGTCCAGGTCTTTTAGCAGAAGGAGAGGCATTTGGTGGCAATTCTTTTCCTAAATAAATTTGTTTGGATAACTTTTGTTGAGTTCTTCCTTGAAGGGAGTGTTATGATGGAATAAAAGGTTGCAGCCCCCTCCAATGTTTGTTTCTGTTTTCCACTAGAAACCTCCAAATGGTTTTGCACGGTCCTGGGCTCCACAGCCCCAAACCCCTGCTGTTCCCA